CTCTTGAGGGTTATTTTCCTCACTTACGAAGAACAATCTGACTGTCATATCTTTTGTACTCAGTAACTGTTTCTTTTATACCCTTTCATTCCAGTATGAATACTATAGTGGACTTTTAAAAATCAAGTTATTAAACATATAATTGTGACATCTGATGGTGATGAGAGGTAACTTCATAGCTTTGGCTCTTAAATGGCACTAATGTAATAGCACTAGTTTAATGTAAACCTCATAAAACATAATGTTTTTTTAAAAAGATGAATTTGTGCATCTAAGAGCTGGGGTGCAGGCCAGAGGTGAGGGAGGTAAGAGGATTCACCTGAGACAGAGTGGGAACAGAACAGGTTGATCTACTGAAATACACTGCTGAGGGGAGCAGCAGGCAAGACTGGCGCGCCACGTGGGTCCCATCCCTGGCCAGGGATCCAGCTCATGTGTTGCGGCAGGAAACACCACACTGATAAAGAAACGGGGGTCTTGGAGCAGCTACATAATGCAGGATGCTGCTCAAGAGCAAGATCCTGGCCTTTTTATTGGTAAACCAGTCATATAGAATTATTCATATGAGGAAGTAGAAAAGGAGATGGGGAAGTAGAAGCAGAAGAAGGGTGGAACTGTTTCTCATCTGCTGATAGCTCCGTATGTAGATCAAGCCCTGATTCCCCGGTTAGGATTTCAGTCTTATCAATAAGGTGGTCCACTGATCAGATTCTGGGGTCTTTTGTTAGACTCAGTCAACAGCCCTCCCCAATCCTCAGGGTGTTCTGTCATACCTCATGCCTCATGATGTATAAGTCAGGAGTAAGTTTATGCATCTGTCACCAGCCCTCTGGGGCATTCTGGGTCATACCTCCTTATGTATACCCTTCCCAGAGTGATCTAGCTTTATGCTCTTAATTGATTTGAAAGGCACCTTGTAGGGTTGGGCTCCTGTGACTGGGCAGTTCTGACCTTGCTTTAGGAACACAGAACTGTAGATAATGAAATGGAGACTAGATAGGCCATTTAGGATTAGCACACCCACACTCATGCTGCACTGGATTGCTTCATAATGCTGAGACAACCCTTTGTACCACCAGGAGGACCCAAAACAGTTGCTTTTTCCTCCCACTTCTCTGAAAGTGAACACAATATAACACTGCCATGGCAGTTCTGCTGTAAGTTGAAAAGCATACTTGGGGGTGGGGGGGAGTCAGGCTGTACTTTTGTGGCTGTTAGGGCACAGGGAAAGCTCCTCCACCTCTCTGAGTTCTTTTGGGCCTGATGAATGAACACATTACCATCAGAAAGACTAGTGGAGGAAAAAAAAGTAAAATGTAATAACAGGTGGAGAACTTACATGGTAAATTCTGAAGTAAAGTGAGGCAAACCAGGGTATATATCCTGTGCTTTGGGACCTAGGGCATCAAGGAGAGAGGAGGGAGCTCCTCATAACCAGGAACTTCTCATAACATTCTTTAATTAACATTAAAGTGTTTTTCCTAGATAGGTAATACATGTTCACTGGTAAACTTACACCAGGATGATACCCTTCAAGCTACATTCTTCTAGGTCATTGGAAGGGGGTGTGAATACTTTGATTAGGCGTAAGGCAGAGGCTTCTAGAAGGAGCAAGAGCTCCTTCTTAGCCTCTAGGTCCTCTGTTGAACTTCATTCCATTTGCCAAGGTAACTATATCAGAAAAGGCCTATTCTAGATGTCTTGGAGAAAGCCTATCTAACCTCTTTTTGGGAGACCAATCCCACATGGTACAAAAAAAAAGTCAAAGGATGGTTCTGACAGAGCTGTTCACAAAGCAAATCCTAAGGAAGCATCTTTGAGCAGCTCCTAGGTGGGGAAACTCTGCTGAGTCTTCAGTGGGTGCACTGTGGATCCCCAACAATCTCCTTGGATCCCTGAAACAGAATTAACTATGTAAGTTAAACTTTTCTTTTTAAAAAAATTGGAAAGGAGGTTCTCTTTATGATAAAATTTTTGGTATAAACATGTAGCTCAGATTCCCTGATTTGGATTTGTTTGGCTGGCGAGGAGAATGTAATACTATAGGTGATAATAACCTGCAGGTGAAAGGTAACATCTGATCTGGCAAGGTTAAGCCTGTCATGTAGCAATATTTGAATATTGTCAGATGTGGTTATTGGCAACATTGTCCTATACAGACATCAGTATGTTCTTGCCTGGGTAGAGTGAGGTAGATCAGAAAAGCAGCTCATCACGGATGTGGCAGTAGGTAATCCTAGCTGTGACTGCGTCCTTACCAAGTAAGTAGGCTGCTGGAGCTGTAGCAAAGCAGCAACAAGTTAAAAGGAGCATGTAGCGCCTAACCTGCAGGAGCACCATGTGGCATGGTGCTTTTTCCAGGTTGATAAGCACAAAGGGAACTGAAGGTCAGGAAACTAGAGTTCTAGATTCAGTTCTGGCCCTAGTTATCTGCATGATCTTGGGCAGGTGGTTCCATTTTTTGCTTCAGACCTCACCAATAAATTGAGAATGAGAAATTCTGTCTGCTGCCTGAGAGAAAAGATGCAAAGGAGTAGGATCACTATTGCTATAAGACCATTCTTTTTGGACACCTTCTACAATTTAAATATCCTTGGTGGGGCCATAAGAGTTGAGGGTGTAAAGTGAAGAGTAACAGAGGAGGAGTCATGGTGATGGAGTCCCCATGCTCAGGTATACCTCCTCCAGCCCCCCCATATGGTGGAAACCTCATCCAGTGAGCAGGCTGGCTCTCAAAATCAGCTGGAAGAGTGGGAGATATTCTGTTGAAGTTCTACTGAAGCCCCTAAATCCTAGCTGCCACTGCCACTTCAATTGTGTTTGGATTAATGCTTCTACTGAGCCCTTCAGAGCAGCCCAGCCATTCTGGTTTCATCATGAGTCTGGCATTTAAGCTTACGTGAAACTAGATGTGGGTTTTTTTGCTCATCAAATTCTTAAGTTCTTAGAAAATATAAATACGTTGATGGGCTTGCCTGCTGCCTGTTCTTTCCATTTCCACAGTGTTTTCTCTATTTCTGTGATTCCTACTGCCGCCCTGGTTCTACCTCCTTCCAGCCTCTTCCACACTCCACATCATCTCAGGCCCACATACTGATTTTTGTCCCTGATGGTCAGAAACTCAGTTTTCCCACACTGCAGCAGTTTTCCTTCCATTGTAAACATGGTCGCATCCTGCTTGGCTTACTTCCAACTCTGATACTGATCCAACAAGTAGGGTGAAAGCCTAGGACACTAATTGCAGTTCTGCTTCTCCACTACCTGGAAGTGAAACTATCTCCCTTCTCTAAGCATCTCCCAGCTGAGAAAATAATTTGACAGCTCTCCTAATCTTGACTCCTTCCTTTCCAAACCCTCCCCAACTCTCCACCCCTCATTGTTGCCAGACTGATCTTTCTAAATGCTCTACAGGGTCCTGGGGCTGAACAGGAGCACAGATAACTTTGCTTGTCCTGCACAGTGTTTGGTTCTACAAGGTTTTAAACACTATGTTAGAACATTAAGGATTGGAAGATTTTTTTTTTTTAATGAAATCCAGGGTTTGGGATTCTTCTGGAAGATTGTTAGACAACACTGGGTAACTGTCATTCCTTGGTGGGGGCATAAGAGTTGAGGGTGTAAAGCCTGGTGAGTGGGGAAGTATCTAGGTAGGGCTGCCACTTGGGCACAGCATGCATTCTCCGGAGAGCACAACTACCACGAGTTCCTTGTCACCAGCTTTCATTATCCAGGTAGGTACTTGTCTTTGCTCCCCCACTACAGGATCAAGTTCTAAACCATAGGATCCTCCTAACTAAACCCCATGTCATTTCTGTGCTATGAAATGGTTAGTTGTTTGTCTGTTTGGAGTTGCCTATTTTAATTTTAGTTAAAGAGACCCATTTTGCAGATCTCTGTGTAGCATCTATTAATCGCAAGGCATATATCTGATCTCGAGACACCATTGCAGAGCGTCTCAAGAAAGTTATGTTTTAGATTTTCATGGTGTATTGATCCAAACCTTCTGTGAAGAGCCAAAATAGGGAAGAGAACAGAAGGGGTCTTTTCTGTGCTTATGGTCATTTCCGAAACAAATAAGTTTCTTTTGGTTACTTGGTTATGTACTAACAATGTGCTCCAGTGAGGTCTAGGGCTAGCAGCAAGATGATGGCTGACCTCAGTTGGATATCTGTTGTCAAACATTGGCCATTCTTTCCCAGAATTACAGGAAAATTGATGTATCAGTTAGTCTAAGTACTTGTACTTCTAGACAACAAAATCAATTTGAGTTATCGAGTAGGTGCCAAATCTGTTATAGGACAGCAAATATGTTTCAAGACGGGGGAGAGGGACACCCCTGAAGCCCCAAACCTGCCTGCTCTAAGTGGGTTCTCCATCCGCTGCAACAAGACAAAACATATAAAACTTTAATGAAAAGGGACTTTAATACAGTGAATATACAATACAGAACACAGAGAATATAACTTCTAAATCAAACACCTGAAGTTACCCATCCCCTCGTGGGCAAAAGTCAACCCAAAAGGGATTGGCCCAAAGCAAGGCCTGAAAGCCCGCCACAAGACTAAAGCACCTTCTGGCTGGGACCCATGGAAAAGGTCAGAAATGGCCAGACAAATCTGGGAGGAAAAGAGCAAAATCAAAATCAATATAAACACGGCCATAGTCACCTCCCTGCAGGTATCTCACCCACATCTGCCTTAACCAGTCCAGGGTCAGGAAACAAGCACGATTTCTTCATCACAGGCTTGCTGCTCCATGTAGCTACCTCAGGTCTCCTTCTGGCTCTCCATCCAGCTTCATTCTCCTCTTTTTCCCCTCTTCTCCCAGTTACTTTATTGTTGTCACGTTAAGTCCAGAAATTTGCAGGTACAGTTTTCAGAAACCTGGGCATTTGCTTCACTAGTTTCAAGAAATTGCTATTTAGTCAGATTTGACCTTACTGATGTCATCACTGTCCTTGTTCAGAAACCTGATTTCCCCAGGAGGATTTAAGTTTGGGGGATTTCTCTCACTTTAACCAAATCCACCAAATCCTCTTTGTGAACTGGAATATCCTTTGGGGGCACATTTACTGAACACCTACTGAGTGCTTAGCCTTGTCCTAATCTCTGGGGAAATGAAACTGAATCATAAATACAATATGTCCTTGTGGTTTAGAAGCTTGTTGTTTAGAAATGGACTGTGCTCAGTGTAGGTTCACTTACCTCCTGGAACATCCTGTATAATAAGCCTGTTGTCCTGCTGTGGCTATTAATATTTTCCCTGCGAAAAAAAAGGGCCATAAATAAAAGTCTCAGCGAATATCCAGGTATGGTGTTGTTTAGAATGGCGAAAAAAATCAACCTGTTTTTCCAGAATAGACATGACCTGGTTGATAAAGGAAGTTTGGGGCAGTCAAGGTTTGAGAGATTATTGTGGAAGGTGGGGAAGGAATGTGAGTAGCCACCTGGAAGCAGCAATCATTGGTTCAAGCTAGTCATTGTTTCCCAAATTTATCCTATGGGGGAAAAATTTCTTTAGAGTACTTGGTAAAAATACAGACTTCTGCATTCTGTTGGCAATTTGGATTTGTGTCTTTAAAGAAGAGTCCCAGATAGTTCTTAGACATATTAAAAGTTCCCAACTGGAACTGATTATGCCTAGGAATACAAAGGGCAAGGCAAAGAGGGGAACAGGCACAGCTAGATGAGAGCACAAATCAGGGGTCAGCCAGGGAGGGTGACCCAGGTCAGAAACCCTCAGAGCTAAGTGTTCCAGTAGCTCCATTAAGGCCTGGGAGAGTCAGTCCCAATCAGCATGCAGAGGAATGAAAAGATTTGAGAACTACTTAAGAAGACTATCTGCCAGTTTCTGATTTACATAGGCTAATATTATTTCCAGGCAACAAAACAGTGTCAAATTCAGGAACATAGCATCTTAAGTTTTACATGGTGAGCTATAAGCCAAAAATAAGGAACATTTGGGTGATCTTGGAATATTTCATGTGGCTCCCTGGAAACGACTTCTGCTATTTTATCTTTGTAGTCTCCACACCTGTGATGGTTAGTTGTAATCTTTGAGGAGGAGCTGGATGGATTCTAAAGCATCCTAACACCCCAACCCTCCATTAACCCCTGCCCTTCGGTTATGATAAGACTATCTACTCGGCCTTATCTTGCATTATTACTGCTTTTGTTTTTGTTATTGAATCTATGAGACGTCATGATCATGATTCATCCACAATATATGTACCAAACATCCTCCAGGGAGGAAATCTGTCTCAGCATAATTTGGTTCCCAAATTCTGGAACTGCTCTCTCTTTATGGGAACCTCACAGATTCACCTCAATCTGGGAAATTACAATAGAACAAGAAACGCTTTGCCCAGGCAAGGACATCGTTACATCACATCGGTATTTGAGGATTCACCTGGAAGAAGTCCATTCCGAGAGGAGCAGTTCTTAAATGGAATCCCTAGTGGAGAATGAAGACAATTCTAGGAGTTTTGCTATCTTCCCCTGCCTTCCAGCAGAGACGGTTTTTATTTTGAAGACTGCCGTCATCAGGCCTGTTGGCATACTTCGGATGTAGCAAACGGAGCCTGAGATAAAAGACTTAGAAGTTATGAAAAGAAAGCCTCAAAAAGGAGTGGGAAACCGATCAGGCTACAATTTCACCTGGTAATTTAGCACCCTTCACCCAAGACCTGGCCGCACAGATTCCACGGGTGCTGTTTGGGGAAGGGCGAGGCATCTACAATTCCAGTCCTTGGCCCTCTTGCAGCGAGATTTCCACATCCTGGGAGTGCTAGACCGGGTTGAAGGTGAACGGGCTGAAATCTTCCACGCTGTCAGCCTAAGGAAAGGGGTGGGGGTGGGGGGGAATACCAGCCCACAGCAGCCTCAAAAGTTTTTTTTTAAGTAAGAGGTTTGACTCCAGCACGACCCAGTATCCCCCACGCCATTAAGTGACAAGATGGAAAAATAAAAATGAGGAGAGGAGAAGTCCGCGTGCATTGACGCGAAAAACGGCCGTTGGCCGCCCCTAACGCTGACGCGGCGGAGGGGGGCGCCCGGGCCCGCGGCCGGCGGCCGG